AACTGTTAAAAGAAAACATAGGGCAAAAGTTTTGTGACATTGGATTTGGCAATGATGTCTTGGGTATGACACTAATGGCACAGGTAACAAAAGAAAAAATAGAGAAATTGGACTTTGTGAAAATTAAAAAGTTTTGTGCATCAAAAAATACTAGCAATGGAGTTAAAAAGGCAACCCATAGAATAGGAGAAAGTATTTGCAAATCATACATCTGATATGGGATCAAAGTCTATAAAATATAGAGAACTCCTAAAACTAAGTAATATAACAACCCAGTTAAAAAATGGGCAAAGACCCAGAGCTGCAAGACTGCTACTGCTGTAGTTGTTCTGGCCTGGGAACCCAGCCCAGCAGCCTTGACAGTCTCTGGGTATGTGACCTACCACTCCTCTCCCTCCCCTCTACCTGAAGTCACCTGAGCTGCTCCTGCTTGGGTCTAGAATCCCTCCTCAGCAGAGTTCATATTTTTCAGGTGCCTAAGCACCTGAAATCCCTCTGTCCCAGAGCCACCCCAGCTGCTGCCTCCATGGGTTCTTTTGCCCAGGGACACAGCACAGCTACTGCATGTGTACCTGAAAACAGCTCTGTGACCACTCATCACAGGCTTCAAACCCACCACTACATGTACCTGAGGCTTACCCCAGCAGCTAGGCTACTGCATGCTGCCAGCCCTGGCTGCCACAGTTTTATGTGTATAAGTAGCTGATCCTGCCCTTGGCTCCTGCCCCAACCACTGTGCTTGCAATCACAGATGGCCCTGCAGCTGCCCACATATACACAGATAGTCTAATTCCTGTCACCGAACCCTAGCTGGCCCCTGCAATTTAGCATAAGCAAGCTTCCAGCCCTGACCATCCCACGTGTGTTCTTACAGTCTTCCCCATCTCCTGTTTCTGTCTCCAGCACTGACCCCAGTGCATAAGCCTACATCTGGATATGCTGCCAGAGGCATGTCTGCAGCCAGCCTCTACATCAGAGGATGTGCATTTCACTGGCTCTGGCCTTCATTGTTGCTAGCCATGGCCCTTTGTTGCTGGACACAGAGGCACAGCAGAGGACTCCAGTAGCCCTTGCAGCCTCTGCAGACCTCCCACAACTTTTGCCATCAAGGATCACACAGGTGCCAATGTCACAGACTCTTAACTGTCTGAGCTGACAAGACTCAGTGTCCCCCCTAGACCTCAAGTCACCACACACACCACACTTGGTGTCTTGTGCCCTTAGACCCAGTGCCACAGCATGCCCCAGAGTGCCTCTCTCCTTCCCTACCCTCTCTACACACCCACAGGTGAAGGTCTGTCCTTACTGATGGCAGCCCATAAAGTCTGGAAGAGGTAACTTTTTCATCAAACGCACGCATACCTTTGCAAGAATACAAGGATCATAAGGAATTTGGGAAAGATGATACCACCAAAAGAACACAGTAAACTCTAGTAACTGACCTCAAAGAATTAGAGATACATGAATTGCCTGAAAAATAGTTTAAAATAAGTTCACATTCAGCCTGGGCAAGTAGTGAGACCCTGCCTATACAAAATATATAAAAATTAGCTGGATGTAGTGGCACGTACTGAAACTTCTGCCTCCCATGTTCAAGCGATTCTCCTGCCTCAGCCCCCCAAGTAACTGGGATTACAGGCGTCTGCCACCGCACCAGGCTAATTTTTGTGTTTTTAGTAGAGATAGGGCACCACGTTGGCCAGGCTGGTCTCGAACTCCTGACCTTAAGTGATTTACCTGCCTCCACTCTGAAAGTGCTGGGATTACAGGCATGAGCCACCACTCCTGGCTGTACTAGTTTTTAACATAGTGCCTTGACATAATAGGTAGTTGGTGAATGTTGCTGAAAGGAACATGTATTTCAATTATAAGCTTGCTTTAATGCCAGTTATGAGTTCTAAATTTTTGCCTTAAACGGTTTAGTTATCATCTCCTGCAGGAAGTTTTTCCTGATTCCTGCCGCCTATGATTTACGTCCTCTCTTCTTAATCTACATGTCATAGCACTAATCACTCTGTTTATAATATATGATGCTCCTTGGGAGAGGATATACTGTATCTTTCACACAGGGCCAAACAATGTAGCACTTAACAGTGATTTGTAAATGTTTGTTAAATGTTAAAGGTAATAAATGAATGCAATAAACAGCCCAAAATATAATCACTAATTTTTTAGCTGTTTTTAAAATTATGAATAAATACCTTTTCTGGATTTAAAGAATTTTAGGGAAGCCATGACAGATACCAAGAGATTATCTATTCTCATCAGCAAACATTAATGAAAAAAAGTTGGTTTATCTTATTTTTTAGAAAAAGCTCTTTATAACCTGTTAGATGGCTAAGAAAATATGAAGAGACTGGGAGTTCCTTATACATAATTAAATAGTTCATTCTTGGAAATATTTCAATAATTCATATTTGAAATATACTTTTTTCAACAAAATTGGCTTTTTAGATACCTCCCTTTGAAGATGTTGTAGTTACAGGATTTTGTTTTCTGGGATTTTAAGAGGTTTGGGTATTCTATACTTTGTGAAGGGAAAATGAATAATGGAGACACATGGAGAATATTAAAATCACTATCTTAGTATGAAGTAAGGTCCTGTTGTTATAGAAGGAGCTAATTTATTGAATGGGATTTAGAGAAAAAGGATAGATGTGGGACAGTAAAGTAAAAGGGGTAAGTATAGAAAGATGTATATGTAGAATACTCCCTTTTTTCTCCCCTGTGTCTCCCACCCCTTGTTCTTAACCTGATGCCTCAAAGGAAGGGGTGAGTACTAGGCAAGATTAAGAAAAGACTGAGATGATAGCTTACCGGATAGAGGATGTAAGAAGATTTGTCATACTGGTCCTTTGTTTCTTTTCAGTTGCCTGTGAACCTGACTAGGCACTGTAAAAGAACATGTGGTATATCTTGTAAATCTTGAGCCTTTACCTGTTTAAGACTAAGCCTCAAATTTAAAGGGAACTTCGTGCTCCAGATATTTGACTGCCTGAAACACAGAGGGAACTCAAGCACTGTTGTCCTAGTAAATGTGTTGTTTTGTGGAGGAGGCTCCTTCACTGCTCTAAAATGAGACGGCATTGTGGATTTTTAAGCTGTTGACTAGCTTAAACCAGGAGGAGATCTTAGAGCTATGAACAAACTATTAAGGGAGGAGAACCAATGTTTCTGTGAGAAGTAAAGATAGCAGGTAAATGCTTAAGGGAAGGACCATTTATTTATTCATCCAACAAATGTATCTTCATTATCTTGTCTATTCAAAGCATTAGAAAGATTGTCTTAAAGTTGAGAGGGAAAATATAATTATGACTCTCTGCATTAATGCTTGGGCATGCCGAGGAGGAAATGCTGACATTTGACATTAAGTCAAATGAGAAATATCTTGACTTCCTCATTCGGAACTCTTAGAATCACTAGATTAGCAGTTTTAAAAAGTGTTTCATAGGGTCTGAGATCCTTTGGCAATACCCCAGATGTCAACAGATATAAGGAGGAAAAGGCCAACTCCAAGAGCATTAAGCTCCCCACTGACCTCTCCCTGTATCAACCAGAGTAGTCCTACTTTTATGTATTGTAATATCCTGTTTGGGCCTAGGCGAGGGAGGTAACCCTGTGAAAATAAGTTAGAAAACCGCCGATAACAGACTTTTAAGATCCTTCCAGCTTTAAAATCTATGATTCAACAACTGTCTGACCTCGGACATTCCCTCTAGCTAAATTTTTATGAGTCCTTTTTTTTTTTTTTTTTTTGAGGCAGGGTCTCATTCTGTCACTCAGGCTAGAGTGCAGTGATGCAAACAAGGCTCACTGCAGCCTTGACCTCGTGGGCTCAAGTGATCCTCCTGCCTCAGCCGCCCAAGTAACTAGGAACACAGGTGCACACCATCATGCCCGACTTTTCTCCTTTTTTTTTTTTTTTTTGTAGAGATGAGGTCTGGCAGTGTTGCCCAGGCTGATTATGAGTCTTAGATTTTATTTCTATTAATGCTTTTCTGGCAAAATATTTATGTTATATTAGGTTATTCTGCATAGACTGAAGTATCAATTACTTTCCCCATTTTATAACTTAAGTACATAGTGCCACATTTTAAAAGACAGAAATTTTATTTACTAAGTAGTATTTATAGACTTCATTTATTGAACATAGGACAGATAAGCATGTAGCCAGATATCTTGCTTGAACCCTCTTCTTACCCAAGGCATGAATATTCAGCAGTACTTACAGCCCAGTCCAAAAGTTTTACATCTCAGTATTTCACAATCACATTCTAACCTAGAGAATAACAGCCTAGTTCTTTGAAGCAGATGTTTTTAATACCTTTTCAATTGATGTTGCTAAAAACAAAATAAACAGAGCATATTCATCAGTGCTCAGCAGGTAGTAAATTCTCAATAACTTTTACTGAATTAAAACATTATTATTACAACTCGTAGGTAAAACATTGTTATTACATCTCATCTTCAGTTTACAAAGAGCTTTCATATATAGTGTATTTCATGTTATCCATAACAATGTGAGGATAGTGTACCATATTTCACGAAGAGAAACCTGAGAACCACTGCAGTAAGGAAGTGGAAAGTTTGAAAATGCCACCATTGCTTCTACCTACCAAATACAAATTTGTGTGAACTTTTTGAGAGACTCATAGCTTACTTTGTCTCTGACTTCTCCAGTTGTACCCATTTTCTCATTTGTTTTGCACTTAATTGTGTACTGTATGCTGGGGAAGAAACAGACAAAAATCCCTGTCTTTATTTAGTTTGTAAGCATTCTTCATTTTCCCTCAGTCTCCAACCTTCGGTCTACAGGTATCAGAGAAAGTTTAGAAAGTATGTGAGCCTTACAAGGAAAAAATAGTAAGCTTTACTCTAGCAAATGAGTTTATTTGATAAAAATTTTATAATGCTTATGTCTTGTTGTTACTATATAACTTATTCTTAGAATTTGATATGCAAAAATCAATACGAAACTAATCAGGACTTTCCTTAAATAGCAAAGCACCGATGTTCATATGGTTAGTGATAGCGATGGAGATGACTTTGAAGATGCTACAGAATTTGGGGTGGATGATGGAGAAGTATTTGGCATGGCGTCATCTGCCTTGAGAAAATCTCCAATGAGTGAGTATTATTAGCTCTTTGGGTCCAGCAATAGAATTCTTTCTTCTAGTACACAAACTTATGAAGAACATTAAACTTAAACATCTCTTACTGACCTCCAGGAAAGATAAGATAAAAGAGAGTAAGGGGAGATAAAATAATAGAGAGTAAGCATTCTTCATTAAAACCAGAGCCTTTTGAATTTTGATTTTATTAAACTTAAAAATTCTCAGTGCATTAGGAAAATTCATTAAAAACGCAAGGTAGTGTAACTTTTGTTTTACATGTATAATTAATTATGACTGTCTCTCTTTAAACCTAGAGGCTGATTAACAAACAGGTGTACTTTCTGTGTCTGATACTTGTTTCCCCACATCTTATTAGAGATACCAGTTTTAAGAGTAGTAATATTACTCTTCTATTCAACAGTACCCATCTTTGGAGGGAAAAAAGTAAACTAAATGTGCCATCTGTTTCACTTCCACTTACAAGATGCGTACTCTAGAATAACAAGACATGCTACGTGCAAAATGACCACTAAAATAATAATGACCTATTTACTTTGTGAAATTAGAGAACTCCTGTGGGCAGAAATAGATGTGATGTTTACATAAAATTGGTTATTTTCCCAATTAATGAAGTCTTTAATATCAGACTCATTTAATATAATGTAGTCACAAGATGTCTATTTCAAGAAAACATTGAAATCCTAAATGACAACTGGGCACATATTTTAAATGCTTAGCAGGATTGTGTCAGTTGGTTTTTCAAAATTTCTGAGCTTGGAATATTTTAAGGTTCTTTTTGATTCTGGTTTGATGAGATCTAATATATGTTGAGTTAAACCGTCCCCTCAGATATATCACAGAAGCTAAAATTTAATTTTATTTCCTCTTTATTGATTAAATATATTTCTTATATGTGGGATTAGATGTTATGTGGTTTGTTTTTTGTGTCTATTTGTTTTGTTTTTTTTGTTTTTGTTTTTTCTTTTGTTTGTTTTTTAGTGCCAGAAAACGCAGAAAATGAAGGAGATGCCTTATTACAATTTACAGCAGAGTTTTCTTCAAGGTAGGGTTAGGATATTAACTATATAAAATTGATGCTGTTTTATGCCACTGTGGTTTTTCTTGGGCAATTTTAATTATAGATTGTTTAAAATTTCTCCATAAAGTATTCAAAGGATATACTTGTTAATTTATGTAGTCCTAATGGTGAAACACATAAATAACTAGTAAACCGTTTATACCACTTCAGAGATGGATTCAACTTATTTCTGTATCTTTATGGACGTTCAATAAATGGATGCTAATTTAATATTTTTATTATATTCCCAAAGGACTAGGATATAGGATACTGATTTTTAGTATATCTTAGGACAGTCAAATGGAAAGTCCTTTAACATAATATTAAATTTAAAAATACTTTAAACATTTTAAATCCAAGTGAATTTTTTCTTTTGATTTTTTTCTTTTGGAATCATTTTACATTTCTTCCTTAAGTGTCAAATATAAAATGTTTTATATGCATTTGAGAGTCTGCTGAGGTGTTCAAATATAAAGAGAATTAATGTTTAATCCTCAATTTGGTGTAAATGATATTGTTTTAGTGATATTTTGTGTTGAAATATAATATGGAAACTTTTAAAAGAAACAGTTTTTTCCCTCTATTGGAATTCTGGAATAAATGAACTGAAGTGGGAAAATAAAGTTAATGTAACTAGGAAAATCAGATGAAAGTGAGTAACCAAGAATTTCTTCTTATAAATGGCATGGTTTTATAGCACTTATTAAATTCATTTGCTAAGTGTACTTAAAATTCCAGCATTGAGTATATCAGTGTAGGCCAAGAAGAATTCTAAAAACAAATGAAGCTCATTTCCAAGCTCTTAAAGAAATGTTTTTATGTTTAGTATGCACTAGACATTAGCCCCAGCATTTACTTAAAAGTCATTGATTAGACTTGTGAAATTTGAAGTGAATTTGAAATGTATTTTAATTAATAGAGTCAATTTTTCCTATAGATATGGTGATTGCCATCCTGTATTTTTTATTGGCTCATTAGAAGCTGCTTTTCAAGAGGCCTTCTATGTGAAAGCCCGAGATGTAAGTAGATGTAACCTTTTCTGATTAAAAAGTGCATCCCACAGGTTTGCCACTAGGGCTGAGGCAATGCTTAAATGTTTTCTGTTTTTGTTTTTTTCCAAAAACGTGGAACTCTTCACAAATTTGTATGTCATCATTGTGCATGGGCCATGCTAATCTTCTCTGTATAAGTCCCATTTTAGTATATGTGCTGCTGGAGCAAGCACCATTTTCTGTTTTCATTTTGAAATTGGAGACTTCATTTGTTTCTGGTTCATCTACTAACCTAGTTTTCACCAAGATGCCCATTTCACAAGGGACATTAATGTAATAGGGGTACTGCTGACTCTTGCAGAAGGTCTTGTGAAGCACTGAAATAAGGTTTTTTTAAAATGGGAAAAAAGGTGGACATGCTTAAAAGGGACCAGGCTACGTGTTTGTATTATTTTCAGTTATGCAAATGACTAGTTCTTGATAGATTTGTTCTTTAGTCTTTTCCCAAAATGATTATTCTATATAGTGATATATATCTAACAACAGCAGTATTTTCCCCCAAATGTCACTTTGGGCCCCCACCACCCCCCACCAAAAAAAAAAGGTTTCAAACATAGAAATGAACTTTGTGATCTTGAAGTCTGTAACAAGAAGCCCATAACAAGAATTTAGAAGATAAATTTTGAGGAAGAAGACTCTAATCACGATTTGTATGTTGTCACAACAGTCAAGACATCAGTAATCTGGCTCCTGCCTATCTATGTCGCTTCAGCTCTTCCTATTCCCTGCCTCACACTTAATAAATCTGGCAGTAGTGTGCCATTTGTATTTCCCCATAATCTTACTCTTTCTTCATGCTTCCCCACTGCTAGAAATGCCTTTCATCCTGCTCTTTACCTGGATGACGACTCCTCTTCCTCCAAAACTTACCTTTTCCAGCTCCTCCCCTTCTCTCACGTTGGCAGCACCTACCCCTTTAGCACCTCCCAGTGAAAAACCCTCAGCTTATCTCTTATTGTTACACTTAACACAGTGTTTATAATTATCCAGTCTACATATGTCTTCCCAGGAGTTTTGATTTTCTTTTGACAGGAACTATCCTTTATGTCCCTGTACTTAGTAAAAATTCAGTAAATGTTTAATAAATGAAGGAATAAAGAAAGGGAAGAAGGAAGGAATAGTGTGTACATGGAGTAGAGGGGAAAGCTATTGGAATTAAAGAGGGCAAGAAGTTTGAGAACAGAGTGCAAGGATGCCTCTAAGATTTCTATTTTCTAGATTATGTTAAATTCTGATACAAAGAAAAATTCATTTAAAAATAAATTTTAAAAATCAAATTCCAAGATGATTAATCAAATTAGAGCTATAATTGACAGTCTAATGAATTTAGAGTAAGAAACTATTCTTTACCTTAAGAATAGCAGAATAGCTCTTTTAAAAGCTGTTTTAAGCAATTATGTTTCAACTGTTAAATCATTATAAAAATGGCTGTTTTTAAAGAAATGCATGTTTATGGTAATATGTTTATGGTGTTCATAAATATAGGTTTATGGCAAATACTGAGCTGGATGTGATGGCTCATGCCTGTAATCCAGCAATTTTGGAAGCCACTGCGAGTGGATCTCTTGAGCTCAGGAGTTCAAGATCAGCCTGGGAAACCTGGTGAAACCCCATCTTTACCAAAAAATCATACAAAAATTAGCCAGGCATGGTGGCACATACCTCTAGTCCCAGCTATTTGGGGGGCTGAGGCAGGATTGCTTGAGCCCAGGAGGTGGAGGTAGGAGTGAGGCAAGATCATACCGCTGCACTCCAGCCTGGATAATAGGTGATATTCTTTCTCTGAAGGAAAAAGAAAATACTGAAAAGCAAAGAGAAAGTATTCTAACACAGATTAACTGTTAACTTTATTATGCTCTTTGCATATTTATTATTGTATGTTTAGATGTATATATATATATGGATTTTTAGTATAAAATTTAGTCATGTTATAATCCTGTAATAACAGCTTTTTTTACCTTTTAATATTATATGATCACTTTTTAAATTATAACTTCTTTTATAGTATTTTAATTTTTTATTATAAAAAAGTTTAAATTTTAATACAGAAAAAGTAGAATAGTACAATAAAGAGCCAAATCCTCTATACCTACATTTAATAATTAGGAAAATTTTGCTATATTTGTATCTTCCATATACATCTCAAAGTCTTAATGGAGTTTTAAGGCGTAAGGACTTAAAAGGATTAACTGCTACAGATTGACAAAAGAGCAGCATTTGAAATTTATTTGTATTTTTATACTTACTTGGATTTGGGATTTTGATGAATATATTTTTATGATAAATTTTTGTTTCAGTTCCTCTCTGATTAAAAATGACAAATGCTGACTGGAACAGAAAATAAATTAAACATTTATTCAAAATTCACAAAAACAAGTATAAAATAAATATAAATAATTAAAACTTCAAATAATTTTTTAATAGTTTATAGCAGATAAGCATTTGAAATTATTGAAACTTAAACTGCACAGAAACATTTAGGGTATCCTGTATAGTCATTAATTTTTGCTTAGCCATTTCAGACTAAATTATAGATGTCATACTTTACCCCTAAAAACTTCAGCATGCATTTTCCAAAAATAATGATATTCTCCTACATAATCACAATACCATTTTCACATATAACAAAATTAACAATAATTCCCTAATACTATCTAATATCCAGTGCATGTACAAACTTCACCAGGCATCCCCAGAATTTCTTTTTAGCTGCTTTTTGGAACCACAATCCACTCAAAGATCACAGGTTATATTTGAGTATCAGATATCTTAAATACCTTTTAAGCAAGCACCATCTCTCCCCATTTTTCCCCTGGTATTTGCTTTGTGAAGAAATCAGACCAGATGACTTGTAGATTGTTCCAGATTCTGGATTTGTGTGATTGTTTCCTTGTGATATTATTTTTCTGATTTCCTGAAAAATGGATATTAGGTCTAAAAGCTTTGTTAGATTCAGGTGAAATGCTTTGTAAAAGAATGCTTTTTAAAATAATGCTGAATATTTTATTTTAACAGGATTTTAGTGGTTATGGAGTCTTTCATTGTATGGCCATGTTGTTATAGTTAAACAATCACTTATTAGACATAAATATGTTTGAAAGAATATCTAATTATAGTTTTAAAATAATGTATTTTTCAACTTATTCTTTGATAATAGTGCATTTGGGATATATCTTTCTCTGCTTTCCAGCAGTCGAAGTAACCAGAAAATGTCACAGCCTTTTGTAACTTAAACTGTAGCTCCCAAAATAGGGATAGATATTTTTAAAAACCCATTTCTAAAGCTTCTGTAAGATATACTGTGTATACCTCACACATTTTAGGTTTAATGCAGATAACTTACACTTAAAAATACAGTATGTCATAGACAACTTAACACTTAAAAATACAGTATATCATAGACAACAGAACTTTTACTAAGTGTCTTGTACATTGTAATTGGCATTTGGATTTATTCAGACTGATAATCCCCTGAGGAATATAAGCTCTTGTTTATTAACTCCTGGATATTTCTAATGAAACAATTGATTGTTTGCTTTTCTTAGTGTCTAGGTGTTTTAGCAGATGAAAAATTATTGGTTCATGTAATTAAATATTTTGCTTCATATTAGATTCATAATCAAAATCCACTGACCTCTCTGGACTGATAAAAATGTCTTTATCTTTATTCCTTTGTCCAGGGCTTTTTTCTTTCCTCATTTCTCTTTTCCAAGTTACAGATCAACAGTTTATGTACAGTTTATTACATTTCTATAAACTTAAGTAAAGTTTAACTCCATGACAGATAAATTATTCAAAATTAAATCTAAGCAGGTTCATTTATTAAGGTCATTAAGCAGATGGTATGCATCTTTTAATTGTGTAAGTATGGTAATTGTAATGTTACTTCAGAATTCTGTGATGCTCTCTGGTTTACAAAACATGTTCCTATACATATCTCATTTGAACCCCACAACCAAACAGTGAAATAGGGATATATATTCCTCATATTCCCATTTTAGAGATGAGACAGCCCAGAAAAGCTACATGACTTGCTTACAACACACTAATAGTAAGTAGTAGGAACCAAATAAGACCTCACATATTCCAAGACAGGTAAATATGGTTTACACTATCCCACCACACTTGAGTTTTCATTGCTAACTGCTGTACTGCAGGATTTAATGATCAAACTTCATCTCTCCTTTTCATATTTCACACTTGAGAGTTAAAACAGATCTTGCTCAAGATTATTTTTTAAAGCTTTTGAATGAATCATTTTTCAGAAAACAGTTTGCTGATGTTCAAACATTTTAAGACAAATGTGACGGATACTGTGGCACTCTTACTAAATTTTCTTCATCTTAAATATCACATGTTTAATTTAAACTGTGGGAGGCACATTAATTTTACCAGGGCAACAGATGAGCCTCAAGCACCAGCATTCTTCACTTGAAGTGAGAAATTGAGTTCCAAGAGTAAATAAAAACAAGATTGAAGGTTTAAATCCTCTGCTAGGCTTTTTGAACTTATATACTCATTAAATGTTTATTGGAGTGGTGGGATTACAAAGGATTTGGGGAGCTTCATCAACTGGTATATAGTTAATCACTAAGTAAAACACTACATTTGATAAAGTGTTTCTCACGATGCCACATTCAATCCATCTTAATGAAAACTGCTTCAAACTGATTTCATTTGAGAGCACTTGGTGGTGAGAGTGCTTATAGTTCTTTCTGCCTTTTTTCTTGAGGAATTTATAGTACTGTACCAAGCAGAGCTTCCAACTTTGGTAAAGCAGTTATTATAAGTTTTCATGTTTCTTTTAAGTATATCGTGACAAAGTATTGACTTCTGATAATGTACCGATCAGTTTTATGACTTCCTTCCTTGCCCTTAACTATGAAGGATGCTCACCCATTTGAGGGCTATAAATGTTTATCACATGCTCTCTAAAGATCTGGGAAATAGAGGTTTCCTGCTTTTGC